TTTTTTTTTCTTTAAGAAAGCAAAATCCTTCTGGTAACGGGCAATTTCCATAAAGTGGGGTTTACTTGTCCCATTTTCCATCACCAAAGCCCTAAAATTCAAAACTTATTTCCCAAACATGGAAAAGGCAACCAAAACAACAACTTAAGAATGTCTGGAACAAAAGTGTGTTAACTCCTGAAGCAGGTTTTAGAATGGCTACTCAGCCAAATTGCTTTTGTCAGGTTTACTGACTTCCATCACATCCATGGGTATGGCAACCTCCTTTCTGAGGGAAGAAAATTGCAAATATTTAGTATCTGGAGTTGTGGATGAAATGAGATATACGATGTACATTTCGTGTTTGTTTTTGAATTTATATTTTCCCCCAATTCCCCAGGACACATTTCTTTAATACCCAAGTCCGGGCTTGCTTTAGGGACAATCTTCCTTTGTGTACAAAACTTAAGGGTACCTTGAAAAACTCAGAATTCAAGATTAACAATTTTAACGTAGTATTTAAAAGTCAAGACTAATGCACAAAAAATTCCGGGACGACCAAATTATCAAAACGTTAAATAAAGGCAAGATCCACCCCGGACTCTCCATCCTGGTATCACTCCTAATCCTGATCGCAATCCTGATCCAACAGAACGTTATTTACAAAAACCCGGTCCGAGTTTCCTGACGATTCGTTTATGCACTGCATGAAAATATTTACCTTGATGCCCATCAGGCATCCCCCCACCTTGGACGGAGCTCGAGCCCCCCTAGGCAGCTTTGGCTCTGGAGGGGAGGGAGAGAGACCTGGGAGAGAGCCCAAGGCGTCCCGGCCAGCTGGCAGCGCCCGAGCCCGAGGGTCCTAGAGATCGGGGCGCCCCCAGAGCAAGGCACTCACCGCGCGAACACGTCGGGGTATTGAGAGCGTTGGAAAATGCTCTCCAGCTCCTTCAGTTCCAACGGGATGAACGTGCTGCGGTGGAGGTATTGCTGCCTGTCCTGGGGCTCCTCCCCGCCGCCGCCGCCCTTCTGGTTCTCGGCGTCAACGGGGCCGCGAGCTCCCGCGCCACCGTGGCTTTCTTCTCCTCCTGCCGCGGCTCCCTGCTCAGGTCCGGCCCAGAGCTCCTTCTCGACGTCTCCTCCCGTTTCGGAGACCACAGCAGGCTTCGTATCTGGAAAAGAAAAGAGAGAGCAGGGCGTTGGAGCCCAGGGTGCGTGGGACGGCGACCTGAGAGCAGCGACGTCGGCCGCGCCGCTGCAGCGTCCCGTCCACTCGCCTCCCTCGGGGAGAGGCCGTTTCCTAGACTTCGCCAAACCCGCGCCCTGGTTCGGGCACTCACCCGACGGTTCTCCTCGAAGCTCATCGACTCCCAGGCTGTGGTAAGCGGGGCCTTCTTGGCTGCTCTCGGGCGGAGGCTCCATGTCCAGAGCGCCTCCACAGACTGCGCGGCGGCTCGCGGCGACTTCCCGGTCCGGTCCTGTTTTTGTGCGGGGCCCGGATTACGGCGCGTCGACCCTCCGCTTCAACGTCGGCACGTTCCGACTTGGATGCCGTCGACCCTCATTACTTCAACAGCCGGGCGTCTGGTGGGCGGGACTTGCCGGGGCGAGCACGCGGCCGGGGCGTGGCCACGAAGTAGGCGGAGCGTTTGCCGGAAGGGTGCTGCCGGTAGGGGGCGCGCGCGCGCCGATGGGGGCGGTGTTTCTAACTCGTCGCTTAGCCGACTCCTCCCGACTCCCGCGGGGCACCGCCTTGGGGAGGGGGCTTTGGTGGGTGGTGGCCGCCCGCCGGGGGCGGGGAAGGGGTGGGGAATGAAACTTCCCACCACTCCCCCGAGCCCTGGGAGACGTGTTGGGAGAACGTCTCACCGCCTGCCCTCGCTGCACGCGGGTCGGTGCGGGGCTGTCGCCCTAAGCCCCTCCAGGGCGAGAGCCGCAGAGATAGGGCTGGAGAAGGCGAGGGGCCCCTGGCAGCCCCGGCACCGGAGCGACGGTATCCCCCTCGCCGTGTGGGCTCTGAGCACGACTCTCCCCTCCGGCAAGTCGGTAACTAATGGATGGGACTCTGGTTGGGTTCCGTTCGCACCCAGAGTCCACGAGCCGGGCTAGTGATCCTGACGAAACGATTAGCTTGGGGGCTGCTTGCTCTGGGTTTTTGCCAGAACGCGCTGAAAGCGGAGCCCATCACGCTCCCCGGGGCGCTCGGGAGCGGAGGCTTGAGGATGGGTTTGCAGAGCACTGTAGGTGCTCGGATGCACGCTCTAAGAAACCCAAACCCCTCTCTTGCGAAAGGAACAAATACTCCAGATTTGTAATAAGGAATTCACATCAAGAGTACAAGTGTAGAACCCCGCTCACTGTTTTGTGCATCCAAGAATGCTTACGCTGCACGTGCTGGACGCGACTGTAGGGCTTACAACCTCTGCATGCTGAGCTCCGCTACCGCGCCTCCCGCCGCAGGTCCTTGGCAAAAGCGCACGTGTTTCTGTGCTGGGTGGGTGCTGGAGACTTGGGTTAGTTCCCGCTTTTTTATTCTCCTCCCCCTCCTCCTCTTCGTCTTCCTCCATCTCCCTTTGTCTAGAACTATCTTCCAGAGCTCTTGCTCTCCACTGATAAATATCAAATAAAAAAGAGCCAGGGCAATACTGAGGGCTCTGTTTCTCCCTTAAAGAGATGTTTTGCTTAGTGTTGAATACCGCTAAATGACAGCCCGCGCGCGCCCAGCTACTTCCCTCTGGCTATAGTTGGAAAAAAACATATATGTATATACCCAGTGCCCAATAACTTGCTGAACCTGGTGCGAAGGAAAGCTAACTTACACCGTGGTGAAAGATCAGCAGTCACGTAATGATCCATGTCAGAAAGACGGCAGCATCCTAGTCCCTCAAGGAACATATTAACTATTCAGTGCTGTCCTTTTGGATGATAAGATCCAGAGTCATCGACTTCTCATAAATACCTTCCATTCATACAATCCAATTTTTAAGAAGTGCAATTATTTTGATGGTTTTTAATTTTACCCATTTCTCAAGGATGGGTAAAGAATTCATAGAATTTCGAGGATGATAAAAGTCATGTTTTTAATTGTGTTCCTATGATTTCTCTTTACTTTTCATCAAGCCCCAGCAATCAGAGCTCTGGTCTCTGGAATTAAACACCATCAAGCTCTCCTATTAATAAATTTAATTTAGATTCCTCCCCCCAAAGAAACGTTTTGCAGGTGGGAACATGTTAGTATCCTGAGTATTGAGAATAGCTTCTAATAATGGGCCCCATGTTTGACAATGCACATGATTTATCCTACTTTTACCTTCACAAGCACATTGTCATCAGACCCATTTAATAAAATAAACCATTTTCATAGGTCCCTAAAAGTGGGGGGGGGCTTATTCACCTCACCTTATTATTATAATTAATAATAATTATCACCTACTGTGCATGACAAATAAGGATACATTCTCAGTGCCTTTTGTTCCCGGAGGGTGAGTAGAAAACCAGTTACTTGGTAATAGCAAGTGGTTGAATTCACTTTGAAAAATCTGTCAAGGGATTTCATTCCCACAACCTCTCCCTAACTAATCCAGCCTCCTCACGCTGGCTCTTACTAGATTCTGCAGGCCTCCCCCTCTCCTGGCTAGATAGCCTGTGATCAGTTTTGGCTTGGGATCAATTATAACATGAGAGAGCTACAGTGGTTAGGATCGTGGTGTGCGTTAGCCTGGCTAGAACATCCATTACAACTTGAGTGATGTGGTCTCTCACATTTGAGATTCCCACGATTTATTCCAGTGCTTTCTAAACTTCAGTCATTTATGTGCCCCTTTGGAGAGCGTTGCCTATCTAGGCATCAGGCAAGGTAGTATTTACTTAAAACTTTCAGTTAAGTTGATCGACTTCCTGGTAACCTTACATACCTAATTGAGCCTCATCTAAGTAAAAATAGGCAAGAATTGTGGGTTTGCTGTCCCAAATTTATGAGGGCAGAGACCCTTGGAGTCAGACTGTTGGCATCTGTATACCAGCTTTACTTTGCTTTTGCTAGCTAGCTAAGTGGTGAGTTGCTTTTTCTTCCTATGCCTCAGTTTCCTCGTCTGTAAAATTGAGTAATAATAGTACCTACCTCAAAGAGTTGTTGTGAGGATTAATTGAGTTAAAAGCAATAGCTCACACTTAGCTGGTTCTGACTGTGTTCCAGGTAATGGGCTAAGTGATTTATTTGTATTAACACATTTAATTCTCTTAACAACCCTATGGACTTAGAGCTGCTATTATCTTCACTTTACAGGTGATGTTATTGGGTCACAGAGACATTAAATAACCTGCTTAAAGTCACTCACTCGGGAAATGTCCCAGCTGGGATTGGAACGTATCTCTGAATACCATTCCTCACACAAGGGATGTGCTCCGTAACATTTGCTATTATGCCCATCTAACTACTAACACTTTTGTAGTTAATGAGAGATAATCAGAGATGTTAATGAGAGAGAATCAGAGATAGGATCATCTTTCAATTCAAAATTCTCTTTCCTTGTTTAACTAATGAATTAGTACCTTCCAGAATTAAACCACTTTTCTTCAGCATCCTGGTTTCAACTCAACCCTGGTTTCTTTCTTTCTTTTTTTTTTTTTAAGATTTTATTTATTTATTTGACAGATAGCGAGAGCAGGAACACAAGCAGGAAGAGTGGGAGAGGGAGAAGCAGGCTTCCCACAGAGCAGGGAGCCTGAAGTGGGGCTCGATCCCAGGACCCTGGGATCATGACCTGAGCCAATGGCAGACACTTAACGACTGAGCCACCCAGGCGCCCCATCCCTGGTTTCATTTTTAAGATTTTATTTATTGGGTGCCTGGATGGTTCAGTCGGTTAAGAGTCTGCCTTCAGCTCAGGTCATGATCCTAGGGTCCTAGGATGGAGTCCTCCATTGGGCTCCCTGCTCAGCAGGGAGTCTGCTCCCCCC